GCCTCACCCCCCCCATGCCAGAATAGCCCCCCCCCCCCGGCCTTTGGGAAGTTGCTATCCTTGGACTTGGTGGTAAACTGCCCGAATCACATGGCAGGGGGGCATCCCCGCCTCCCTCCCTGTGGCTCCTCTGTCTCATGTCAAAATGGTGTCTCTCTCGCCACGGCCGGCGGAGGCATTTCAAGTTAAAACGGTAGCTTAGCAGAGTGACTCTTCTGCATGGATCAAGTGCTGGGCGCACATCGGAAACAAGCCACCAAAGAACCACCCACCAAAGCACCAACATGCCCCCCGCCCCCCTCCCCCAACAGCCCCCTTTCCCACCAACCCATCTCCCGGCTTTCCCACCGACTCCAGCCTTGTGCTTCCTTGCCCCCTGCCTGGGAGGAGACGGGCCACTCGGCCCGCTTCTGGCTGGATTCGGTCTTTGATGGAGGAGCCAGGAAATTCGAGACATCCCCCCCCCCGACAAGCTGCTCCTCGTGGCACACAGGAGTTCTCTGCCCTGCTGCTTTGGGGGAAGGCCCCCCTCCCTCGTGCTTCCTCGCAGCAGGTGGCTTCCAGACAAAGCGCTGGCCATTGGCACCCAACTCGGGTTTTTTTACCCCTCACAAAGAGGGAGGAGGAAGATGAGATGTTTCCCCTGGATGTACTGCTCAATTTCTCACTATTTGCTGTGCGGCTGCATTTTGACCCACATCTTCTTGATCCTAAAAAATAAGGATCAAGAAGATGCGGGGGAAATCGGGGGGGGGGATGCAGGTCAAAATGCGGCCACACAGCAAATAGTGGGAAACTGAGCAGTAAAACCGGGGGAAATGGGAGACAGAGGGCGGAACAACTGCTTTTGCAGAATTGCTCCCATATTGTATTATATGTAAATAGGCCTGTGGAGTTCCTTCACAAGTAGCAAGGATCAGTTCTCTGGGGAATCTGAAGGATCTTCTTAAATTCTACTACAACAATTTTTAGCCCTCCTGGGAAAATTAGGCCTGTGGAGTTCCTTCACAAGTAGCAAGGATCAGTTCTCTGGGGAACCTGAAGGATCTTCTTAAATTCTACTACAACAATTTTTAGCCCTCCTGGGAAAATAGTGGTAGCTTGTTGGCCTGGGATTTTAAAATGTTATCTACCTTGTTTTATGGCTATTTAGCTATGTTATGGCTATTTGGCTACACATTAAGATCTGGGATCTCATTGTGATGGGTGGAATTCAGCAAACTCCTATAAATAGAAAGTAAGCAAACACTGGAATTTTTTAAAATTTGTGTATGTATATCCACCACATTATGTGGTTCATATTTCAGCATGCAA